ATTTTCTCCACTTGATGATGGTCGTCTTCACTGTATTCCATGGTACAGTTGTGCCCCGCTTAATCATTACCCTGCATAATGATGAATCCGCTTCATGATGATGTTTTTGCGATCACAATTGTGATCGCAAAATGTTTTAATGGTTTTTTTTTTGCTTTACGATGATCGCTTCCTGCTTCGGGAATCGATTCTTCGCATTACGGTGATCAAAACAGCTGATCGTCGGGTTTTCAAAATGGCCACCAACTGCTCAAAATGGCTCCCCACTGTGTTTTTGGATGGATTCCTCACTTTACAGGCAGCGAAAATGGGCACCCCTGTGGAGGATCTTTGCTGGATGGTGAGTTATTCAGCCTATTGGAACACACAGAACGATTTTCAATGCGTTTCAATGGGCTTTTTTATTTCGCTTTACGACATTTTCGTTCTACAGCGATTTCACTGGAACAAATTAACGTCGTCAAGCGAGGCACCACTGTATATCTAAATGCCTTGGATATTCTTTTGTACCCTTCTCCTGACTGATACCTTTTAACAATGAGATCCATCTGATGCTTTGGAAGCTCTCTGCGGACCATGGCTTCTGCTATAGGATGTGACTAAGAAAATGTCAAGAAAGACCTACTAGCACAGCTGATCTTTATTCAGGATTCCTCAGAGGCACTTTAAATAACAGCAGGGGTGCACTGACTCCTACTTAACATGAGTTTGAATGTGATTGTTTACAGCTGAACAAAGCTACATACCCAGTTATAAGAGGGTGTGCACACAGATGCAACCATATTATTACAGTTTTTTTATTTCCCTCCACCTAAAAGATTTCAGTTTGTTGTTCAACTGAGTTGTACAGTTCATAGGTCTATTAAAGGTGGAGAAAGTTCTGAAATAATTTATCTTTGTCTCATTTTTTTAAATCACAAACACTTGACATTTTAACAGGAGTATGTAAACTTTTTATATCCACTGCACCTCATTATATGGACCAGTAACAAAATTCCACAAACAAGGAACTGCAGCAAAAAGCCTCAGCAGGTAGTACTATACAGTGGTGCCTTGCTTTACAATTGCCCCGCATTACGACGAATCCGCTTTACAATGAACTTTTTGCGATCGCAATTGCGATTGCAAAACGATGGTCTAAATGGGGGAATTT